ATGAAGCTGAATTTGTTAAAAAATTTGAACCTAAACATAGGCGTGTCAGAGTAAGTGATTTTTTTATTATTAGTTGAAATGAGGGATTTTTTTATCTTCTGGTAGTTAATATATATATGATTGATTGATTGATTTGATTGTAGCATGGTCTTCAAGCAGCCGAAAGAATATCTCGTAAACAACGTAAGGAACGTAAAAATAGGTCCAAAAAATTCAGAGGTACAAAAAAAACTAAAAGTGCAAAGAAAGATAAACAATAATTCAATGATGATGATTATTATGATGATGATAATGGTAAACGATAAAATCAAATCAACCGAAAAAATATTATTATTATTAGTATTATTTAGAAAAAAAGCATATAATGTAGTTTTGAATATTGTTATTATTATTTATTATTATTATTAGTAGAATATATTTTCTCTAAATACATATTAATATTATTATTAGTAGAAGATGATGCTTTAAAGACTATTATCTATCTTGTGATTTTTCTTCCAAATCCATTGTTCTTTTTCTTTTATTAATAAAAAATCATTATAAAATGCAAAGATATATTTTTAATTAATTTTATTGTTGGAGTGATAATAAATAATTTGCACATAAAGCGAGAGGATTTTTTATCAAGAAATTTATAACTACATAAATTTTTTTTAATTATCGTCCAATATGTACAGGAAGAAAAAAAAACTTTAAATCTAATTAAGTGATGTAAAGAAGAATACACAGTATTCCTTTGCTAATTACAATAGAAATAATAGTGCTTGTAAAATTATTATTAAAAATTATTAAATTAAATTATAAAAAATATATTAAATAAAACAATAAACCTGAATGATTTAATTCAGGTTATAAATGGTCCTTTAGTCTATCTATGTGTGTGTTATGTGTGTGTGTGTATGTGTATATGTATGTATTTACATACCAACAAATAAATGTTTTCAACGATTAATTAATGTCTGTCACACCTAATCTCTCTCACTCTCATATATTCACCGATTCTTATAATACACCACCATAACTACTGTCATGAATAGTTCCAATAGACACCGATCTATTATTGTTCCGCCTTTTATTTCTATTTTTCCCTAACAAAGAAGTCCTTTCATCTTCACCACCGTTCATATTCTCTTCCTCGTCATCTCCTGGCAACATCTCATGAAATGTCGCTATACCTTTTGATGAATTCGAACTACTTGAATATGCATTATTATTATTACTATAGTGATTGTTGTTATTATTATTTATTTTAAAATTATTGTTGTTGTTGCTTTCATAATTTCCATTATATTTTGATGAAAATGAATCTTCTCCATCGTATAATTCTGTTAATCCTTCAATATCATCGCCTAACAATTTGCTATCTTCTCCCGCTAATAATCCTTCTTCTAGAGCTGTACCTTTCCTCCATGACAATATTAAAACTCCACATAACAAAATACAAATACCAACTGCCACTAAAACTAATTGCCACCAATGTAAACAAGTCCATTGATCATAATAAACAAGCCCATTGAATATAGTTGACACGTTATAAGAACAAAATGAAAGCGGTATAAGAATAACTGTGTCACATAACCTTAATCCTTTATTGAGATAGTAAAGCTAATAAACGTTTTGATGGAAAAACAAAAAAAAATCAATATTTATCTTTTTTAGATTTTATATATATATATATATATATATATATATTAAACTATATTACCTGTAACAAAGCTGTAACAGCCAATATTATCACAATAATCCAACTTAGTGGTTTATTGAATTGATTGTCTCGGTAGATTATAGTTAACACTAATAATTCTAAACCACTTTTTGCAAATAATAAACTTTGACTTGATATCATCCCACCAACACATCCATATGATATTCCAAGAATAGTTTGAAATTTTTTCATTGACCATCCAAAAATGGGATCTCGTTCATTCTTTGATATCTTACTCAATAGATGTTCACCATATTTGTTAAGTGACAAAAGTATAATTACCACAAATTCGGTTATTGAAAAATACACAATGAAAGCTGGTCTTTTATATAGTTCTATCAAATCTTCAAGGGAATGCGCTGATTCGCGAACAACTCCAAATGCTGCAATCATTATTGCACCAATAAGAATAAATAATGTTCCTATAATATAGTAAGGAATAATTAATAAAATAAAAGAAATTATATTCTCTTCCCTCCAAAAAAAAAAAAAATTTACAAACCTATAAAAGATTTTTTAGTAAACACATCACCTAGTAATAATTTTGCAAAAAAAGCATTAAAAACAAGAGTAACTGCTCCTAAAGGTGCTAATATAATTATAGGAAGATACCCAATTGAAAACACGCTTCCAATTATATTTGAGATTAAATAGGTATCAAAACCTAGATGCCATAATGGTCTTCTACACGCAGATCTTCTTAACTCTCTTGAAGTGCTTTCGTTTAAGACATGAGATTTTCTTTGTATGGTTAAACCAAGAGATTGTATAAATGATGTCGATACAGCTATAGTGATGGCAACAACAAAATTAACCTGTGGTGGAGTTTTGCTTGGATCTTCTAAACAATTTGGCATTTTTTTTATATTTTTAAATAAATTAAGGAATTACGTATCATTAGGTGTTTAAAAGATTGAAATATTAAGAAATTTTTTAATTAAGAAATTTTTTTTTAATAAAAAACCGTTTAGATCAAATATTCTAAGGAAACGGTTTATTAATATGTTAATAAAGGAACAAGAAAACAAAATAAAAATAAAATCAAAAACCCCTATTCTATTAATTTATTTAATTTTATTTATTTATTTATTTTATTTATTTATTTATTTATTTATTTATTTATAATTTTATAAAGTCAATGAAAATGATTTACCCAAACCTGATTGAAAGCCCAAAATACCGGAAAACTTGCAAATTTACTTAAAAAGTAAAAAAAGAAAATTTGCCGGAAGTCCGGAATTTTATTACATTGATGCGGAACAATGTTCTACCAAAGTTTTGAGATCATGTGCATGTGTATTACTTTGATACAATTGATACAATCAAATTTTCATCTGAAAGCGCAAGGCTTTGCAAGATTGCACGTTGTAATAGTTGTTTCCGAAATAAATATGGTATTTAAAATGGTTATAGCTAAAACAGTTAATCTGGAATGAATATTTTTAACATAGTCAGTAGGAGGTGATGATTTTACGAAGGAAGATCCCAAAAAAAAAGAGTACGGCTGGATACATCTTTGGTACTTTTACAATTAAAGAAGGTTTCGGTCATAATTTAATAATAATAAATAAAACGTTTATGCTAACAGTCAAATAATTGGAGTTTCATTCATTTTACATCATGTGATTTTTTAATTAAAATGATCCGCATAAAATTCTTGGATTGCAAAGAAAAATATGGTACTCCCACAACTTACTGCGCCACAATGACGTTTTTGTTTTGTCATGTGATATTGTTTAGTTATTCCATAAATAGTAAAATCGACAATATCGTATTACCTAATATAGATGTGCTCACCAATTAAAAAAAAAAACAAAAAACGACAGTTTTGGGTTAGTATGGTAAATATGTGTGCAACTTTGTGGCTTGGTCTCTCCATGATCATGATGACGTGACATATCAACAGTCTCAGTTCAAAATTACGATTTGTTTTTTTTTTTGGTATTACATTTCCATTTTTGGAGTACTAAGTGTCTTGCACTATAATAATAAAGGCATTTAATAGTGCCGATTTCCGAAATTTTGAATGATGCTATTCTCAAATTAATATCAATTATACATAACCATACATATATATGTAATATGTTTAATTGTTCTCTATTACTAACACCGACACAAAAGTTCCAACTTCATATCATATTAAATTTCTAATCATGGAAAAAAATTCTAAATAATAATAATCATTAATATTGCCAATCCTGATCACGATCTAAATTAACGGTTTCAATATTTCCGTAATCAATAATAATAAATCAATGTTCGGTTTTGAGTTAATTTGAAGTTTGGTTTTCTAGTCATTGAGTTTGGGTTTCTATGCGGTCTTTTTCTTCAGTTAATTCTTGAATGATGAATGATTGGTTTCTTGATTAATTTGGGTCTTTGGTTTCCAAATCCCTGGTAATTTCTGAATAATAATTATACAATATATGATAGAAAGAAAAGATAAACTGTGTTTCTTGTGACTTCACGAAGAGAAGGAGAAAATTTTCTTTCTCTGAAATCCGCCCCAATTCAAAAAGTCGTTCATTCATTACCAAAACAACATATAGAAAGACAGAATAAAGATTAGTATTAGTAAAATATTACAACACAAAATCAACTCATTTCTATGCTTGGTTAGTTCCTAAACATGTTACTAATATTAATAAGCCATTTAGCTCGGAAAGGCGACTATTGCTGTAAGAAGCGACAAAAAGTATGTATTAAAAAAAAGTATTGAATTAAGTTAAATTATCACGATTTCTTTTGTGTATCCTCAATTTCAGTAATAGTAATAATAATAATAATAATATAATAATAATTTATTTTTTGTTACACATTAATTAATGATTATACAATATTATACAATAAGTATTTTATTGTTATTATTAACAAGTTGTTCATCTTCAATTACATTATCAGCAGACACTTGTTGAAACACATGACTGATCATGAAGCCAATATGTATGCATGTGTAGAGAATTTGAAAAGTTGAGAGGTCAGATGCGAGTTAATCCTTACAAAAAACCGGCATATCTCAACAATTGCATAATAATAATAATAATAACGATACTGTCTGTATACGAAATTGGTCTTTTAATCTTGCTACTTTCCCTTAAATGTAGCTAAGGATATAAAAGAACATATTTTTAACTGCATAATAATGGCGGAACAATTGTTGAATTACAATCATACAAACTTGTTAAACGAGTAGCAATAAGAGGATTCTTCATTAAAAAAAAATTTGCAAATGTATCATCAGCGGCCTGTAAATGAATCATAATTATCAATAAAAGGAATAATAATAATAAAATCAATAATTATAATTATAATTATTTGTAAAAAAATGGCCAGAAACCAAGAGTAACTTGTCCACATCTTTTATAGCAATTGACATATGTAAGCCAACATATAAATATTATTAATTACATGACACAAATATTTTTAGCGATGATGCTTGCAAAGGGTGCTTCCAAGCTAACTGGCTTACGAATCTTTGCTAAAACCAAGAACTTCATAATCTTAGTTTGTTGGAGTAGAGGATTGGACTAATAAAGATAAAGAATTTCTTGTACACCCTTATTTATCCAGAAAATACTGACCAATTACACTTATTAATAGGTCGATTAATATTTAAAAGCGAGTTTAAAGGCTCTTTATAATTATTCTTTTTGTTGTAAAGTTTTGAAAAAACAAAAACGCACAAGTTGACAGGGGAAAATTTAATAAAACGTCATCATTTACAATGTTACCAGATAAATTATTTACATTATTATCAATATCATTATTGAGCAAAGTCAACTTTCCTAGATGGCAATTCACCAATCTCTTTTGATTTGTCAATTATTTCCTGGAGTGGTCTGTTCATTTGGGTCTACCCGGCCCACCACAACGTCGTTATACCGACAAGACTTTTTCTAATATATTCTATCAGTTTAGCATAATATATCTTTGTTTTCTTGCCATAACCATATAATGTCATTATTATTAATTCGTATCAAATTGAATTGAAACTAGGTTTATTAATTGCACTAGTGAAATAAATTGTCAGTATAACGTCCTGTTGGTATATTATAACGGTGCCTGGAAACGTCTGTCGGGGAAATGGGCGCGACCCGTTCATTAAATGATGGTTCTGTTGATATATTTCTTCCATCAAGATATTTATTAAGATATTGAATATATTTCCAAGGAGTTTGTCTATTGCTTCTTTGCCCGACTCTATGATTTCATTGATGACTAATTATGAGTCATGCCAAATTCTGACATAAATGATATAATGAATTGCTGCTCTTGTCTTGTTGATTATCCTATTATACATAATATTACAAAAATTCAAGTTCATTTTTAAAACGACCAAGACTGCCATATTCAAAGTGCAATTTACTTACAGGATTAGTCACGCTAGATCATAGATTTCTTCTTCCACAAGTAATCTATTTTGATTTTTCTGATATTCTAACTTTATTCCTATTTTCTATATCTTAAATAGATAATAAATCTTTTTTTCACGTAATTTTTATTAGATAAATGATAAATTTTTATAATAAATCTTTAGAAACGAGTGAGAGTGTGTACAGAAAATCAATATTTTTAACACAAAAAATGAGGATTGGCCTTTGATTATTTTTATTACTATTATTAAAGTTCAGATATTAAAATATTGCAATAATTCTAACTCTTCATTTTCCAAAGTAATAAAGATTAACACGACTTAACTTTCAAGATATACTGCAATGAAAATTCACTTCATGGGGACTCTAAATTTATCGAAATCGCTCTAAAGATGAGAACCGCAATCATAATTCAATTTTTATATGTCGTAAATTAGTCATAATTAATTGAGGAACCATCTTTAAATTTGACCACTAAAATTTTCCACTGCCAATTGCAACGAAGCTCTTGCCCTATATGGAAAAGAGATTAAGGGTAGAGTAATAATAAAAATCGATTTTATTTGTAATAACAGATAATAAAAATATTTAATCTAATTACAAATCTCAAATCTGGTACGATCACGATCAGAACTTTTACATGTACAGCAACAACTCATCGACCCATTGAACAACACCTAGTTAGTTCTACTCAAAAACGGGGTTTCCTTCCTACTGTTTCTTTATCACCTCCAACATATTTAATCAATAAGATACCTCAAAAGGTTTTTCAAGATCATCCATCCTATTATTGATATGCTAGTTGTTGATATGGGTGGACATGGACGTGCTTTAGAAGTATTACAAAATTCACTACATAACAGAGATATTGACAATTGTAATTTTTTGGATTTGATGAATAATATACGTACGCAGCTAAAGGATCGTTACATTACTGGTTGACTAAAGCAAATGAATTTAAACCTCTCCTTCGTGTTATTTTAGCACATCAGTAGATAGTAAAAGTCGTAGAGGATATTTGACTTGTCCTTATATTTGGATATGGATGACAGCACACTTCACAAATGACCCCACAGGATTGCAGTATTGGCAACACTTTGAATATTTTTGTTGCACGTATTTGAGTTTCTCAAGTCTGAAATATTTGATAGCAATAAATGGATTTTATTAGGAGAGCTTTATAATGGTGCAAGACATTCATTTGGTGATGCTGGGGTTCACAATTAACATTTACAATTGGAGGTAGCAAAGAAACAAATACCAACACAAACAGGTCAATGGCAAAATGTACAGTGTGAGAATGATATAGTTAAAAATTAGTGAATATTAGAAATATTGCATAACAAATGCACCTAATGCACAAACTGATGATTTTGTTTGTGGGATACGTACCAATAAAGATAAAACAGATGAGTATGTGAGTGAGGTTCATCAATGTAACTTGTTGAAGAAACGTTCAGTTAACCAAAAAATATATATGGAAAAACATGAAAATACAGCAGCAGATGATGACATATTATATTGTACGCTTGTGGAGAATCTAAGTTTGATCTTCCATAGTTATCAGCTATAGTTGATAAAGACTGCTGAAATGCTTATTTTGGGATTTTTATTGGATGAACATTTATGTATGCAAGAATGGATCATCCAAATTTGAATACTGCTACCCACCACTCAAGTTAGTGGTATAAGAGGAATAGGGAATGGGTATGCTTGAACAATATTAGGTAAACGCCCATTTAAAGATTTAGATGATTGTGAATCCAGAACAAAAATCCCTCGAACATTACTTGAACAGTTTCAGTTAAGGTAGAAGGGCCTTTTTATAAGTAAGTTACTTTTTTTTGTTCAAGAAATTGAAATGTATAATCAAGATTTTATTAATGCTTAATTCATATTTAACAATTAAAGTTTTTTTAATATCAACTCGGGTAATTGTTATCAATAATTTTAAATGTTATATTGTTGCAAAGAAATTCCAATTTGCATAGTAATCATTTAATAATTCGTGATCCATTAATATTAAGCCAAATGATCCGTTTTATCGAAAGTGAACTGTAGCTACACCATACTAAAAAAATCAGCAATAGTGAGTATTGTGTTGTGAATGTTTAATCATAATATTAATACAAACATATATCATTCAAACGTTACACTACGACGAACTCCTATTAAAAAAAAAAACAAGCAATTATGAGTGTTGTGGATATTTAATTATAATATTAAAACATCATTCGTGAGAATTTGTTTTTTAACGTGATCTCTAAATAACCTACATAATATAAATGTTAGTTTTTTGATACCTAAATGAAGAGAAGACCTAGAAATATACATTGATAAATCTTATTTTAAGTTTATTTTATTTTATTAACCTTCAAACATGATGTTACTTACTCTCAAAAATTATGGTCGACCACTCCACCCTTAAAATCAACAAAAATATTAAGGGTTACTTCCACCAACTTTCTCAATTTTTACTTGTCTGGACATCATGTGACTTTTCTTCGAAATTGATTTCTGAAAGTTTCATTTCTGCATGGTCTTAATATTAATATTACTGTTACCAATATTAGTATCTTTTTCATTTTCTATGTCACATCCTTCTCCATTTTTTATTCTTTTCTTTATTGACTCCCGGTTGCTTCTATTGTTTTCTTCTAGAGTTGATAGGAGTTGTTTGCAGCAGAAGCAGTGATTCCTTTTTTTCTCCGCTACATAAGTCGCGGATTTCAATTTCCATTCACCAAATGAAAAATTTGGGTTCGATTTGGTCGTTTTATCAAACAATTTTTTGAAATCCTCCCACTTTTAAATTTCCTTAAAGCATTTCGAAATAATTGACCAAGAAAATATGATTATATCGATAGTTGGTAAATTTTTTAACGCTGGATATGAAGTATCGTAAGAAATTCTTTTGCTGCCAGTGTTGGCCGTCAAAACTATTTTGAAGTGGCGGAAGTCAAAAAGTTATCAAACTCTCTAGCTTTGGAAACCAACACTAGTTGCTGCATGATGAAAATAATGTTTGCGTCAGGACAAATCTATGTGGCCATGAGCAGAAATCCTTCTTGGAATTTGTTAGATATTCTTTCATGACATAGACGAATATGAAAAATTAAATATTTTGCGCCAAAATGGTCTGAAAGAAGTATCTCTAGAAATTTATCGATAATACATATTTGTAAACTTGTTGTTCTAGGACCAACTTAAAATATTACTCTATTAAAAAAAAACTCTCTCTTTATATATTAATTGAATTGTCGTATAACTCAGAAGTGTTTGTTATATGTCAACAACCATTAGAAGAATGAACCAAGTTACGAAAATAATTAAATTATTTGTTTTAATAAAAAATTAAACCGAATTTTATAAATTTTTATAATTACTCGATCCGAATGAAAATATCTCTTTATCGATCGATTTGTTTTCGATTTTTATTATTACCATCGCTTCATCACTTCCAGCTTCGTCTGATTCTCAAACTCATAATCATAATCATCCTCTTCCAATAGCTGGATTACTAATTTTCTTGGTCCACCCGGACAGAAAGTTTCGGGATCACCAACTGTAGAAGTAACATTAAATAAATTGCAACATTTATAGGTTCTATACATGATGACGAAATAGGTTTATTTCGATTCGATTTCGATAATAATAATCATTGTTCCAACATTTCGATCCCAAAATCGAAATCGAAAATCGAAATACGAAATTTAAATTAAATCAAATTCTAAGAATGACATTGTTTGGACACATTTAACAAAGGTACAGAAAGACATCCTAGAAAATATGATTCCACATGTATATGTTGTAATGATAATGGAACAAAAGGAATTCCGCAGTTGATGTAATAATATTTAGCAAATAGATCCGCGATTTAAAATTCATGTTTTCTCCAGAAATGTATGAAAAATTACAGAGGAAAGATGGACTTTTGCCACTGTTGGAAATTTTTAGATGTATTAAATTCAAATAACAGACTATTTTTTTTTTTTTATAGGAAGATAAAACAATTTTATCTTACATAAATATCAAAATGATGGTTTTTTGGATGAAACGGGTTCTTTGACAACTTCTAATTCTTTGGTACAAGGAGTTTGTCTAATAATAATCAAATCAAAAGAAGAAAAAAACAATAATCAAAGGGAATCGAATGATTGCCATTAGTCGATTTCGATTTCAGTTTCAATTTCCGATTTCTCTAGTACCATATTAATATAGGGACATTTTGATTTCAAAAACTTAAATGATAAAGATTTCTTGTTCTAGGGTTATTATTATTAAGCAAAAAAGTTATTTACACAGACAGACTCGATAAGTCAGCCCGCAGTAATCAATTGTTTAAAGTACTCAATAGTATAAATTATGCGGCTGACTTATCGAGTCTGTCTGTGTATTATGAATTTAGTTTTAATTTCAAATTTCGATCCTAATTTTCGATTTCGATTTCGATTTGAAAGTTTCGAATTAATAATCATTGGCTTGGAATGTGAAAATTACAGCGTTCCAATCATTGGAATAGAAATTTAACATCGATTGGATGTGACCGTCAACACTATGATTCTAAAGTACTTTAAAAAAGAGTGAAAGCTGCAACACTAATTCTGGCTGATAGCGGATTAAAATTTAAATCCAAAAAAGAGTAACTCAAACTGAAAAAATATCACTATAGAATTCGGTCAAGTACGATAAAGTTTTCTTCCTGGTGTTTAAAGTTGCTAAGATATTTTTTGCACAACAAGTAATTGATAAAGAATGTTTACGCGATTTTATGAATAGAAAGAATTAGAAAATTTTGTCACGTATAAAATAAATTGGGTCAAAATTATAATGATTTTCAACGCTCCTTATTAATATTAAGCTTTAGGTCTTTCTTAGCCCCACCTAGCCCTCCATTCTAGGGCAGTAGCGTGGCTTTCGCCTATTGAAGATCACGTTGATTGGTTGGTAATAATATCCAATCAAATGCAATTTTTGCTTAAATGCTCAGATTTTGTTGAGTGATCTAAAATACCACACAAAGAAAGAAGGAATTATAATTTAATTGATTTTAATAATACAATATATAATTCTAATTTACAATTGCAAAAAAAAAAAAAAATTTAATTTAATTAATTAAACGATAACAATAATTGAATCGTTATTCTTTAAAAAATTCAATATTTCTTTTGAAAAAACCATCTATATTTTCAACAGGACGACCAATAACTTTTTCTAAATCATCAGAAACTTCATTCTCACATGTTTTGATCCAATCCAGTAAATCTAAAAATGTGTTCATATAAATATGATTGACTGATTCTTTAATCAAAAACGAATCTTCTTCATTTTCACCATTCATTTGTTTTCGTTCAATCAAAGAATATAAATATTTTTTTAACCCATCACGAGAAATTTCTTCGTAACTGATATTCAAGTCAATCGTATTATTAAGTTTTTTGATGATTTGTTCACAAGATAAATTTTCACGTCCTGTTAATAATAAAATATTTGAATTGTTACTCGTTGATGACTGATGGTGATCTTTATGAGGTGGAGTCATAATTATTTTAAAAATGGCTTTTCCTATATCGTTCAAATCAACCAGTGCACTTTTGTGCTGTTGTGGATTCAACGTCAATTTGATTTTGCATTTATTATCAATCATGGGTTTAAAAAAAAAGAAATTTTGATAACTAAGTCCCAATCTAATATAAATGTAAATATATGAACATGAAGGTAAATATAAAGTTTGATATGATGATGATGATGATGATGATGATATTTTATATTTCATTACCTCATTACACATAAATTTTCAATAACATGGCTTAATTTATCTTCAACATCCTTATAAGCCTTCAGAAATTTCAAATCAGAATCAGCACCAATTATTGAAATCATTCCAACATTATTAATTTTCATATTTTTAAATGCTTGAATCATTTTTTCAGCATATTGAACTCTTTTCTCGTCAGACTCTGTGTTGAAAATAACAATATCAAAATTTCCTTCAAAGGCTTCATCCAAAGTTTCCGATTTATCATAATCAATCAAACAGATTTCAGCTCCTAAATCCATCAGTTCCTCTACAAATGATTTGTTTTGATATTTTGCTACAGCACGAACTGTTGAAATACTGTCACGATGATTACAAAGTAGATAAAGTGCTATTGATTGACCAATATAATCGTCTGCTGCAGTGATTATCACTGAGGGTTTATAATTGCCATTACTGCTTATTGGGCCTGTGAATTTGGATGCTTTGCTAGAAATTGATCGGATTGTTGATGATGACGTTGATTCGTTAATTGGCGTACTTTGTGGATTTGCTGATTTGTTATTGTCGTTATCATAATTATGGTTATTGTGAAACTTATTTGTATTAGTTACTTGATTATAATCATTATTATTATCGTCATCATCGTCATCATTAATATTATTAGTTTTTTTTTTATCATCTATATTTTCTGCGCTGTAATCTCTTTTACCTATTTAAGTGTCAAAATATAAATTATTATCAAACAAATTTTATCACATCTTTTTTTCTAAAATAAAAGAAAAACTTCCTCACCAGTAATACCAGCAGTAGATGATGATGATAATTGACTTTTATTTAGGATAGATGGGGTGGTTTGTGACCTTACAGGTTTTGGTGGTGTATTATGGGCTAATTTTGTGGTTGGGATTATAGGTTGAGATTTTGGTCGTTGTAAGGAAGTTAATTTGAGTGGTTTTTTTATTAAAAAACCTGTACTTGTAGTTGGACTTGCGGTTTTTTCTGGTGCAATATCTTGAGATTCATCAAACACAATTTCAAAAGCGTTTGAATCACCCGAAGTTTGAATATTAATTGGTAATGATGTCCTTCTTTCCGCCTTTTGTTGTTTCCTTATATTTTTGTTAAATATGACAATATCATCCTGTGCACTATTTTCACGAACTGGTTGAGTCGGACGAATTGGCTGGCGTGAAAATTTTACTGGTTGTGCTGCTTTATCTTGAATACCAAGATTCTTCTTTGCAATAAAAGGCAAACCAGCTATAAATCTAAAAATTACACAAGTTTTGGTTAGTTAGTTGGTAAAAATCTAATTAAGTGTGATTTACCAAAAAAAAAAAAAAAACTTAATACACTACTCTTCAACTCTTGAATCAAATTTTAATTTATAAATTTCAAAAGATTTTTTTGAAGCTGTTCTAACAGCCGGTGTTGAATCCATTATACCTTGACAAACAATCGATTCTACATCTTCTATATAATCTTCTAAACCAGTAACATCAGTCTCTAAAATTGTTAAAGTTAATTCTGCTATACTGGTTTTTAATTGTTTGTTTTGACTTTGGATTGCTTCTTTAAACTTTGGTAAAAGACTAAACAATTTAGATTTGCGGATTATTGTTTCCAAACATTTCTGAGCTCTTGCAACGAACAATTTATTTGTACGATTACAAATTTTGAGAATGTTGGGCACAAATAATTCAGCTAATAAATCAAATTTTGGGCCTAATCCATTAGAAATTTCTTCAACAAATTCAGTTGCTGTTCCTGATAGTCTTGTTCTATCTGAGAGAATCTTGATAAAAAAAAAATTCAATTCAATTCAATTCAATTCAATTCACCAACCAACCAACAAAACCAACCAATTGACAATAACTCACACACTTACAGAATTTTGAATTGGTTGCTTTAAAGACTTGATTCCAGAAATAAATGGTTTCTCATAATCAGAGATTCCTTCACGAGTAATTTCGATCAATTGTTTGAATGCTTTATCAAATTTTTCCCAATTACTTTCGGATTCTTTTTCTTGAAATAATTCCAAAGTATTTTTTACTTCAAGTTGAAATTTTGATGCAGAACTCTTTTCATTCTTTTAAAAAAATAATGCAGTTTTTAAATGGTTTTAAAAAACATATTATATTTTAATGTAAAATTAAATAATTAAAAAGTTAAAATACTTTTATATCTATGATTTTTCCCGACATTTCCCTCTAATTATAAACCACAATTTAAAATTATATTATGAATAATTTAATGTTTAATAAATATATATATCTATATAATGAATGATGTTTCAGAATACAGTGTCTATAATATGATTATTTTGTAATTCTGAAAACTATCATGATTACTTGAAACTATAATATTAATAAGGAAGAAATAAAAAAAAGTTTTTTTTTTACTTTTTTGGATGAACAATATTTATTTATTGCATCAGATCAATTTTAAAACAAACTCAAATGAACACGTATTTGGAAAGTAATCCTCGTGTAATATAATTGGTTGACGAGTTGAAATAAGTTAAAACCTTTATTTTTTTTTTCTTAATAAAAAAAAAATTGTAGCTCTTTAATATTTTTTTTAAAATTATGGAAAAAAAAATATACAATAACTTGATTTGTCGTATTTGAGAATAAAAATTTTCATACAAGTTGTGATTTTTGTTATTTATAAATTTTTTTTTGATGCGAGTCTTTATGAATCACGTGACAGAAACACATTGATATTTGAGAACTTTATTAGTACTTACAGGTAACTGCCGTAAATATTAATCAATCAATTTCAGGTTTGGAATGAATTAGATAATTGCTTATTTAATAAAGATCTTCTTTTGTTAAATCATTTTATATACATGCATATAAATCTAGTGTAAATTTGATCTATCAAATTAAATTTATTCAATAGTAATAGGCTCAATCCTAAACATATTTGGAATTAATATATATATATATATATATTTGCTTTTATTTATATATAATCTATTATTTGATAGATAATGTAAGTGGATTGAATTTTAGAATGAAAGATATACTTGATTCAAGTAGTTGATGCTGCTGAACTCCGATATTTATGTTTATTTTTTATTGCAATTATTTAATATTAATATAAATAATTTATCATTCTATCACCTCCACTTTTACTGTGATATTACCATTACCAAAAGGAGTATGTGAAATTATAAGGAATATAATTTTTGTTGACCAAATCTTTGGGAAATTGCATATGCAGATCGAGGTGACAAACTCCTTAAGATGTAGATCAAATACAACATCTTTCCGATTGAACCATGTTTGTTTTAGTTGAAATGTGATTGCACTTTAAAAAAGAATCCTCCTTCATTATATAGATGTGATGGTTGACGAAACAAAATAAAGTCCTTCTCATTTATTATAAAAAGTTGTGCAATTTATTTAAGAAATAAAAGATTCACTTTTCCTTAACATTCATTTTGATAATGTCCTTTGTTTTCAAAAAATTCTTGTAACATATTTTGATTTTATAAATTATCCATCACCCTCAACAAAACCAAGTAAAGTAACCAATTTATAATAATGGCAATGTATATTCAATTTATTTTATTCCCCAAATAATCTAAATACCTTGTTGTATTTAAAGAAAAGAATCTAACATAGCCCTTGCAATATTGTGTGAAATTAGGACTAACTGGCATATCGAAATTTTCTACGAAAAAGCTTTAAAAGTTTCAAGTCATCAATATATTAATGATGCTTAGTAACATAACATCTATTATATAAATATCAAACCTTTTCTCTACAAAAGTTTTGAAATATAATAGAAATATATATCAATTGGTCCCAAAAAATTTTGCACGTTTTTATATTATTATTATGATTGTGATTATTATTATTATTATTATTATTATTAAAAATTAGAAGGAAAAGAAAATAACACACCTAAAAAATTAAATTATATTAATAATTTACAAAAAAAAAAATTAAATTATTCATACATTACAATAATTATTATAAAAATTAAAATTAAAAAAAAAAAAAAGAATTCAATTTGATTAAATAAAATTTCCCAAAGAAAAACAAAAATAAACGAACATCCTCCATACATACGTATACGTGTAAATAAATTATATTTTCAAGATTAAACCCACCCACCAAAAGAAACATGTTGTCATAAAAACCATATTGAAAATAATAATAATAATAAATATTCCAGATTATTTATAATCATTAATTAAAAATATATAAAAAAAATTTAATATGGAAACTGAAATCATTGAAATTATTATTATTAATTTAAAAAAAAAAATACCTATACACTTTTTTTTGATTTGATGAGTATAATAGGCAACATGGTGTACGATAAGGAGAGATATAGATTATGGTGGATAAAGAAGAAAAGAGTATATATATGTATATAAAACTAGAGGAGTTTTTTCAGAGAAATTAATTTGAAATCACACAATCAAGGCACCAAAAAGTTGTTATTTTGTTTTGAATATAATGTCCAAAGAAATTACGTGCAAGAAAAAATAATTACAAATAATAATAAAAAATTAATTCTTTTTTTAATTTTGAAAAATAATTAATTATTGTGCACGCAACATCAATAGTAAAATGTCCTTTGAAGCTTTTGATTTGTGTGATCCAATTTGTTGCTCTGAAATTGTTTGTTGTAATATATCTTGTTATATATATCTTTTTTTTATCCAATTAATAATAATATACATATACATACATATATACATGCACACATATATATATATACACGAATACATATATACATATATATGCATATATTTATATAATTAAAAATTTGTAAATAAATGTCTGAAAGGATCAACACCCGTTGGAGTACTGCCGATACAATTTTCGTCGTCATTTGGTTCTGGATATTTTTCAAAATTACTTGTATCACCAGGATGTCGATATGGTGGTATAATAGGAGCTGCCACGCGTCTATCATATAGACCCTGCCAATCAACACCACGAAACCATTTATGTTTTTTAACATCATCACTGCCACCCCTAAGATTACCTAATCTTTTTGTACGATCTGCTGTTAAAAGACGTTTAATAAGATCTTTGGCATTAGCATCAAAATGATTTGGGAACTGTATTTTTCCTGCTAGAATTTTTTCATAAATTCCGAATGGATTATCATCAAAAAAAGGTGGATATCTACATAAAAACCAATTTATTTAATCGTTAGTAAATAAAAAATGCGGGTTTTTCCTGAAATGAAAAAAACTTACCCAGCCAACATCTCAAATATTAAAATTCCAAGAGCCCACCAGTCCACAGGTTTACCATGGCCTTTACTTTGAATAATTTCTGGTGCTAAATATTCTGGTGTGCCGCACAATGTCCACGTACTTTACATGTATTATATAATATTAATTATAATTATAAATATATATATAATATATATATATACATGTACATACATAAATATTGAATATATATACAACATACCGATCTTCAACTTTTTTAGCAAAACCAAAATCTGTGATTTTTACGTGACCTCTTGAATCTAATAATAAATTTTCAGGTTTAAGATCACGATAAATTATATCTTTTGAATGCAGAAACTCTATTGCAAGGACAATTTCCGCTGCATAAAATCTGGTCATGTCATTTGTAAATCGGCCAGCTCTCCGTAAATGTGAGAAAAGTTCACCACCAATCACATATTCTAATAACATATATAAATTTTTCTCATCTTGAAATGTACAAAACCTTTTTAAATTTAATTGATTTTTGTTAAAAGAATATTTTTTTTAAATAAAAATCAAAATCATTGAAATCAAAGCTTACAAATTTACGATGAATGGATGATGAACTTGACTCAGAATTAATTTTTCTGAATTTATATGTTCAACTTGTTTAAGTCTAACAACTTCAACTTTTTTTAATACTTTCATCGCATAAAATGAGTTTTCTCTGTGTTTGAATTTTGTGAGAAATACTCTTCCAAAAGTTCCAGTTCCTTAAATTTTTAAGAGAGATAAACATAAATATTTATTATTTTTTTTTAATGTTTAGAGATATTTAATTGATAATTGATAGTTTACTATTTTATTATTATTATTATTAAGATGTATTACTTCAAAAAAAAATTTTTTTATATGCTAATTGCTAATTGAATTTTTCAATTTAAGAAATTAATTTAATATAAAAATTTTAATCTAACATTTAATGACATTTGAAATATAAATACCTACCTAGAGTTTCCAGTAAACCAAAATCGATCAAACCAAATGAAGGCCTCGCAGTATAGGGATGCTGTGATGTTTGTGTGGTAGTAGTAGTGGCAGCAGTAGTCTGTGACGACGACTGTCTTTGATTTTGTGTTGTTATAGTTTGTTGGTCTCCTCCATTATTACTATTATCTTCAATATCGGATGTTTGATTATTACCATTTGCGTACGAGCTAGAAAAAGTCATAATATCTTTTTTACAAATTAATTTTTTGAAAGTTTTTTTTCCCTTTATTTTAGATATTTTTTTTTATAAATTTATATTAATATACCCTACAATCACCCTTTATATATAAATTCTTTATTATCACAAACTTTTTAGGAGTAAATTTTTTAATTTTCATGTGATCGTCACCCACAACAGATTTCAGGGGCTCAAAGTTTTGTTTGATCGCAAATTAAACAAATTGAATAATAATAATAATAATAATAATAATAATAATAATAATAATAATAATAATAATAATAATAATAACGCCTCAAAGAAATTTCAGGGATCAAAATTTAGCAAATTACCATATGAGCTAACTTGTCATGTAGTACGAGTAGTTTATATAATAATAATAGTATTCAAAAATGAATTATAATAGTAATAGCTTAAAAGGCTTTCTCCATATATTACGTGTAACATTTTGAAAGTAATAATTTAAATATGACAAAATTGGTGACATCACATTTGTATTACAGTGCAGATCGTGTATTGACAGAATTTTGAAGGAATTTAATCTTAATTTGGTAATTTTAAAAAAATAAAAAATTATGTTCTAAAGAAAATTTTTTTTAATATTACATTAAGATTTGATTTGATTTAATCAAGATCAATTTAGAAGGGGTTTGCCATTTTTACCTAATGTTTATCTACATATAAATATAAAATTGATAGCTAATCCGAAATATCTTGGCAAGTACCAGCACTAATACTAATATTTAATACCTTTCAAAATCCGAAAATCCGAAAATCCGAAATTAAATTAGCCAATCAAAAATTTCGTGTAATCTGAAAATTTGAATTCATTCGTTGTATAACAAAATAATAAAATAATGTTTGGGATTATTTTATTTGAATAGATCACCTGACCATTTTCCTGATGAATGCAAATTCTGCAAACAAAATGGAATCATGTTTATGTCCATGGTCTCACACCTAGCAAACAATTGTGTGGAATGTCATATGAAGTTCAAAATTATTATGATGATTCAAACAAAAGAAGAGTAAATAATCAACCACTCATTGAAGATTATTTTGTTACCAGAATCTAAATTGAATTCAATAAATCAAGCACTTGTTTACACATTTGTCTGTTGTGGTATTTCATATAATATTATAGAGAATCCATTTTTTAGAATTCCTCAAACAATTGAGACCAAATTTGAATTTATCATATTTATATACAGTGCAAATCATCTATCTCAAAAGTTAAAAAATTTGAAATATTATGTGATCTACATGTTGGATTTAAAAAAAACCACCACTATTCAATTCGGCTTTAAAAAGTGAGTCAATTCATATTCATGTAAAAAAATTTGTCTCAAAAAATTTTTTCATGGATTTTTAAATTTGAGAGTTATGCTCAGAAATGCAATAATAATTTTCGCGTTACAATATTTGAATTACATGACTAAATTTGGTGACGATTTTCCTTTGATGTAATATGTATGTTCGTTAAACTTTTTATTGTAATAGTAATAATAAAGAAAGAACTTTTATTATTACTGTGAAGCCTTGAAAGTCAGCACTCCTTTTTTATAACTGTTTGCAACTGTGTAACAAATTATTTCCAATTATTTTAAAGTAGGGTGCTATCTTTTGAGACTTTACAGTAATAAAAAAAAAGAAAATGAATAATACAAATAAATCAATATTGATATATATTGTAAAAAATATTCTATGAAACAACCTTTTGTTACACACAATTTACTTAGTCTCAATTTCTTAAGTGTATAACAAAATTTGGAATTTTCAAAATGGTAAGGCTCTGTCAATTTTTAGTTTAAGAAAAAACTAGCTGATAAATTTTGAAGCTTTAGTCATGAACAATAAAACTTATCAGTTAACTTTTTTTTAAAATGATATAAAATTATTTGTTGGCATTGAATTTATTTATATCAAAAACTTAATAACCATGAAGTAATTTGTTACATACAATAATAGGTGAGGGAATTCATTTATAAACTAATATATATTTCATGATATTATTTATTAATTTATAATTTTAATAATAATAACAAGAAAGGAAAAATAAGACATAGTAAATCACCTATATACAAAAGGTATTAACTTAACAATTTACTATTAAATTTAACATACATTGTTAATAATAATAGGAAAAGGAAAGCAAAGAGCAAGTCTAGTCGAAGACTTATTCCTAGTATGAGATAGTAATAGTAAATCTTGGACCTATCAATTACCCGGTTAATATTGACCAATGAGAACGAATTTACTACGGAAGTCATGTGATGCACTATATATTACATCACGACCAACAACCATCTTTCTATATTATTGTAATGGCTATGCCACACATTGAGCAGCATCACATGAAAGATTATTCCTATTCATATTTCTATATTTATATTTATTAACCTACTCATCTGATCTAAATATTTATTTAGAATTAGTAATTAGTTGATAAGCATATTATTGGAGAGTAGAATAGCACACATCATGTTATTTGTACTTCCCCAAGAGGTATAAATACACTTGGCTTTAGACCAAGTTAATAATCATCATTAATTAATCAATTGTTAATATTGTTGATAACAACCTTGATAACATAATAATAACTCTTAATAAATATATAACCTTACATAAAATAGTCTTTGACTGTAAGTAACTAATAAACTCAGTGTGATTGACCCCCAGCCCTTCTAATGGTTAATGGTCTGGCTAACCTTTAATTATTAGTTGGGAACCCTTTTAATTATTCAGATACATCTCAAGGGGACGCCTTTGAGATATAATTATTTAAATAGAACCTAGTGACTGTAAGTCAGTGAGTAGGCTGAGTGTCATATATATAAATAAAGGAAACTTGACAGTAAGTGTGTAGGCTGTGTGTTGAGCTTTAAATAACCTATTAATTAGTAAACTTGGATTGCACACTCGCACTAGCACTTCTAAATTTATTTGTTTTATTAGTAGGAAGTTGAATGGATTCTAAAGAAGATTAAATGACAGGTTAATAAACTCAAACAACTTTAACCATTTATGAAAATTTTATTGAATTTGTATGATAACTTTATGATTGTAATTTGCAATTATTGATTTTTTTAGTAGGCTCATAAAGCAGTTAAAAATACACATAATACATAATTTGGAAGTTGTATGACCATTTAATAAAGCTCTCACCAAGTTTCCTTTCATAAAAATTTTTTTTTATTTTTTTAATGAAAAGATCTGCATAAATTTAGCCATCATTCTTCTGTTTTGATGTTTTTTCTAGAATATTTTTAGAATTACACAATGAATCATGAATCTAGATCATCAATTATTACAGTATTTAGAAATTCCAAATTTGGAAATCTCCCTGACTGAAGTAGAAAAAACAAACTGATGCAATAAGTGTTTATTATAAGAATGGTTGTGACTATTGTCACTCATTGTCACTGATGATTGTGGTTAACAATAATTTTGTTAATACATATGAAGTAAATTATGTTTCCTTCAATAGGCAGGATTGATTACTTTTGGTTTTAATGAGCCTGAACATTTATTTTTATTTTGATTAGTCTATAGAGCTGCATTTAAGAATCTGTGCTCAATCATTACCAAATATTCTTAAAGAAGTACAGAAACCAATTAAGTACTGTAAAATAGTAAATTATAAGTCACAGGAAACTAATATATATATAAATCGGAAATGATTTACAAATAACACGAAGTGAAAAATTGGAAACCGGTCTAATTATTAAATGTTACACTAATTAATATAATACACCAATAAAATAATTAGCTCACAGAAAATATCCCAAACATTGGAGATATAAATATTCCAACATTCTAAAATTTTGGATTGATCTAACAAATACATTTTTTCTGAATAACCTTAAAACCTTGTGATAAATAAAATTCGAAATAAAAATAATTATCATATTAATATTATTATACATTTGACTCTAATTTGAATTAATTAAATCATGAATTATAGAATCAATAATTATACAATCTCTGACTTTATCTCCTCTTCTTCTAACTTGAAAGTTCACACTGGGTGTGTTATTGACATTTCCTTCCTTTCAACATATGTGAAATGCAATGAAATAAATCAAAATTTGCAAAATGCACCACCAAATATCAGCCTAACAGTCCTTTGCCTTATTATTATTATCATGACTCAACAACATTCCAACCATGGCATCCAATCCAAAAATCTGATTTTGCTTCTGGAAGAGTTTGATAAAAAAAATTTATATGATTATTCTGCATATTGTTCTATTCTGATGATGAGCACATCAATCAAGTGGATCAACTATAATGCTGATGAAGAATATACTTTAAAAATGGCATTTCCCAATGAAAAATTATCACTCAAACAAACAATAATGGTGAAGTCAAGATTGCTGTCTGCTCATCTTGCAAAACTGAGAAGAATCATATGTTCCCACCAGCTTTGACACCAGTACCTGATGAGATCAATTCAGTACCCATGTTGTTCAGGAAACATTTGTCACCCATTCATATGAGCTGCTCATTAGGTTGCACTTCAGGTTCTAATGCTTACACACACTATTGTCACCTACAAGGCTTCATTGGGTTGTCAAAAAACAGACATGCTTTGAAACTACACTCAGGTTTGATTGGTGCAATATTAAATCAAAATGAACCACTTAATTGGTTTCATGAATCATTAACTGGTGCAAGTCAATGGCTGGCGCAAAATAATCCAATATACATTAAGGTTTCTGGTCGAAACTGCTTCTATTAGTAGCCGAAATTGCCCAAATACTTTGGGCAAAATTTATTTTTTTATAAGCCCAAACTACTTTTTGTTATTAGCCAAAATTGGACGAAATTATTTTAAAGTTGTTTAAGTTAAAACAAGTTGATTCATATAGTTTTTTAATGTTGATGCTTATAGAAAATGTTGAGAAGCCCAAATTGCCCAAACTAGTTGGGCTTTGAGAAAACAGTTTGGACCAGAAACCTTAATATACATACAGTACAATCAAACTCATGCTGTAACACAT